TATATATAGTTATTTATTTGTATATATTAATTATTCTTCTTTCTTCTCAGATGCATGAGATTAGCCTCCGAGGCAGCCTTATTCAAGCAAAGAAGAAAGAAACTGCTTCTTCTCCCAATGAGATAAAAACAGGACTATCATGGCGGCAATTCCATCTACACTATCGAATTATCTAAGTTAAATAATTGATGATGGCACACCTTCAACTTATTTTATGACACACTTAACGGTGTCGTTTGGCCTAATTTTACTCACCTTGGTATTTAAACTATTGGGAATGTTTAAAGTTAAATCAACTATATGTATTTGTATCATTTATTTTTATTTAAGCTCGTGTCACATTTTCTTCTTGATTCCTACTTAAATCTAGGAAGATTTACATGGATAGCACTTTGATGCCTATGTATTTACTTATCTAACTTCTACACTTTAATTTTATATAAATAGCACCATTCCTATGCATGAAAAATATATCTCAGTTTCTTAATGTTAAAATAGTGGTATTTTGTATGTGATATGAAAATTTTGGGTGGTATAAATATAAAGAATAAAGTTTTGGTGTTAGATATGAAACACATAAAAATTGGGTGATTTGTATGTAAATATATTTTATGGATAATACATCATGTCCTTTTATTGATCAAATTCATTTTCTCTTGTATTGTTGAATCATGATTTGTCTGTGATTCACACCCAAGGAATATAAAGTAAGAACACAAAAAGAGAGAGGCAGAGAGAGAAATAAAATGAACAGTAATGTGTCTGTGTATTATTCATAAAATGATTCTTTTATTTATAGATAAGGGAGAACAATATGATATTGCATTTTGCCTTAATTTTAAAGGGGTTTGTGCTAGGGTATTTTTGGTATTTTACTTGTGTAAGCATGTCGTACAAATACTTTTTGACTTGGCCACCCGACCTTAGTCGACTTTGGGTCGATAGGATCAGTTCGGTCGGCTGAGGTTGGTCAGTATGAGTCGACTGGCTGATAAGGTCTGGCTTTCAATTCTTAGTTTGTGATGATGAACATTTGGGGCATCCCTCAAATTGTCGAAGATACTATGAAACTAGATTTTCCTTTGGATTGACTCTACTAGAGGGTATGCTTATTACATCCAATCAATATTCCTGTAACCGTCTCTGTTGTTGTTTCGTCTCGTATATGGCGGATTGGTTTGGGCATAAATCATTTAGTGTCTTTTTGTCGACCTTATGGCTCGATTGATTTTGGCCTTGCTAGCTTTACTCGAATAGTTTCACTCGGTCAGGCGCCTTACAATCTTTTGGTGGTGGACTAGCATTCATCATACTCTTCCTTTCTGGTTTGTTAGATCTCTTTTAGATTAGTGCTAACATATTTTTATATATATTTTTTAGTTTCCCAATTCTCTTACTACTTTAAAGTGACACTGTGATAAAAATAATACATTTTATTACATTAAATAACATTTATTATTAATTTATGATTTAATGATTGAAATCCCTTAACTTTCATACATTTGATTGTTATAAATAGGGTACATTCGGACTCCTTCCCATTCCTCATGTGCTCTGTGACTCCTACCATTTAAATCGATCGGCTTCTAACTGTTTTTCATTGCAATGGATAACCCATCAAAAACTTATTGTGGAGCCTCCAACAAAGATCTGAATATGTTCGCCTTAAAAAAACCAAAAGGGCAAGGCTGCTAGGAGACTAGTTGGAATTGCTTTGACGGATCAGATGGTGTCGTCTTATTCACTCATTGATTCTAAGCGGAGGAACGTTCCAGCAATCGGGCCAATCATCGATCTCATATTTGAACCTTCTACTATGGTACAACATCTTGTTGACCTCACTTTTTATGAGGTATAATTTCCTTCTTAAGAAACCTAGGATCTAGCCATATGACTTTCCTATTGACTAACTTAGAGGATTAGTAATGGAGCCCACCCCATATGGGTAGTCACAAGCCCTCATTTTTTACTTGAGATGGCTAAGACCAACATGTGAAGACTCAAAAATGAGTTCCCATATAATCAATTGGCCTTAGAACAACTCTGGGTGGTTTGGTCTTGCACATACACACTTAAACTCACCACAAGTTCCCTAACGTACCCAAAACCATCCATTCACTCAAATTGATTCATCTTCCCCTTGAGATCCATAACTATTCCTTAACTCTTTTGAAGAATTATATAGGTGGTCCTAAGTCCTTAACCCTTGGTTAGGATGACTAGGACTAACATGTAGAGGCTTCAAGATGAGTTATCACAAGGATCATATGACACTACAGTAGATGGTGTGCTAAGCTAGGACTACAGTGCTAGGTTGTATTTTCAATATCCTAGTTGTTTTTTCTCTGCTGGTTTGGTTGCTCTAGCCAGACATCACCTTGTATGCTGCTCTTGTGGCTTACTAGGTGTGAGACTTACACACTAGTATGTTAAGGGCAGTTTTTTTTGCAGGGAGCCATGTCCAATAGTTGGGAGCTATAATAGTTTCTGCTAACACCTTTTGTGCAGTTACTATTAAGCTCTCCTCCTATCGGGCTTGGTTCATCACGTTACATGTAGATAGCTTTTATGCTAACTTTGTTTTAATTCAGGTCGAGTTTTTTTTTTTGACTTCTTACATGTAATTTTCAGAGTCCCTAGGGGAATCATGTAGTAAAAATAAGATATGTGCACGAATTCTGAGGCGCTTAAGGCGTAGAATCATGTGGCAGAGACTAGGAGCAGTTCACTTTGATGCCTATGTATTT